TATCCTGCTTCAATTTGTACCCATTACCCCTCATTCTGTCGCTGGCCACCACCAAGAAGAGTTGACCCCATCGTCTTCACATTCTCCCCTTACATATTCATACATGTTGATAAAATCAATCTTTTCTTCTCCAGGCTCAACAGGCCCAGCTCGCTTAGTCTTTCCTCATAAAATAGATGTTTGAGTCCCTTAATGATCTTTGTTGCTCTATGCTGGACCCTCTCTAGAAGTTCCTTCTCCCTCTTGCACGGGGGAGCCCAGAACCGCACACAAAGGCTTTCTAACGGGAACCCGCAGGAAGGCACTGCTGCCCATCCTTCCTCTGGGCCGTGCGGACAAGGCCCTTGCTTTTCACACCTGCATTCAATTGGTGTAAATACATCATGAGGATACCCGAAACACCCATGTTCACGAGTGTGCCACTCCTGGGGCTTTGCAGAACAGGCCTTCCCGTGGTCAACTACTGTGCCTGCCACAGCCGGGGGCGCCACTGCCTCCCATTGGTGTAAATACATCATGAGGATACCCAAAACACCCATGTTCACAAGTGTGCCACTCCTGGGGCTTGCAGAACAGGCCTTCCCGTGGTCACCTACTGTGCCTGCCACAGCCAGGGGCACCACTGCCTCCCGGGTTCAACCAGCTCAAAGATGGATTGTATTACCCCATATTTTCCATAGCTAACTCTGCCTCAGCTGTAGTTGTAAAAAAAATCTCAAAGAATAGGTGACAATGGACATACATGCTTGAAGTTTCTTTATTATTATTTTTTGCCATAAAATTCCTTTAGAAAAGCAGAGGATGAGTGATCCATTTTTTAAGGGTGATATACAATACTATTTTAAATTCCCTTATTTCTGTTGAAATTGTGAGGAATATTGCTGCTGAACTGGGGACAAATGAAGTAACCTGAACAGAAATAAGACTGGAGCTGTTGGAAGTACTGCCAGGTAGTTGCTCCTGCAGCTGTCAAGAGGCATCTTTGGAAATTAGCCTTAAAAGCACCTCATTCTATTATTGAGAACTTTCTTGCCCCTGGACTTTCTCCCTTCCCCTCACCCACTTTGCATATTCCATTTTTCATGTTTAAATAAAAAAGTCGATGTAAATGTCTTTTAAATTGACACTATCACAAGACATTGAGGTCCCTATGAATAAGTTACTGTACTCTGACATTTGGAAGTCATCAAATGAGACAGTATAATGTCAGTTTGATATTTTTCACACTGTGAAAATATCAGCTTCATGTCAAAGATCTAAATTCCATCTTAATGTAATAATTTTTTTTTGTATTCACAGACTAGTGAAAATGCTAAATATTTAAATTTGAAATGAACTTCTACGGTTACAATTTGGCCTTCATATTCCATTATTATTAAATTGGAAGTCAAGATCCGTTTTCCCTCTTTTTTAATTCTTCAAACATTGTAGTGTTTGATAGAATAACATTAACTGTATTCTTTTCTCTAAATGAATGCTTTCCCATCAACAAATGGCAAATAAAGTTCAAAAAATACCTTGCTCTTGAAAGTCAGCCTATATTAAAGCAGCCCTGGCACCCGATCTTAAAGAGATACAATGTTGACAATACCAGTATTTTCCACTTTTAGTAACAAAGAAAACAGAATCCAACCTTTCATGTCTATGTAAGATTAATCTTCCCAGTATTATTTACAAATTCCTTTGCTTTTTCCTCACTGCAATTATAACTCCCATGATTTGAGTGTCACATTAACAACATTTCCTAGAAGTTTCATATAAAAGTTTGTATTTAAACGCATTTTCACCTGACCTGAGTGAGTGGTAGAGGGAGAGTAAATAGACATTTGAAAAAGATGGCAATTCGGGACATCCACCGATACACAGAATTTCTTAAAGCAATTGCTGCTAGAACCGCTGGCGTATTTAATGAAAGGGAAGAACAAAGTTGCTTAAGAAAGATAATGGTAACAGAAGAGACACTCCCCACGTTCAGCTGCTAGCTAATATTGTGCCAGGGCAAAATGACACAGGGTGAAATAACATCCCAGGGAAGCCCAGGCCGCCCAGAAGGATGAGCTGCGAGTTGCATCGCTGTTACAGGGAATTCACAGGCATAGCTGGAGCTAGCAGAACATGAGAGGCAAGAGCAGAGCCCAGGCTGCCCGATGTGGTGCCATGGCAAGAGGCCAGGTAGCAGCTCAGGCCGGCTGGCCTCACACTCCAGGGCATACAGGCAGGCTTAGCTCCAGGCTACAGGCATGGGACCTAAAACCTGGGGCTTTACACCAGAGTCCTTTCCTCTCTGGTACATAATAGCCCCAACACAATTGCTTCTGGGCACCACGATATCCTTCAAGTATCTGTCTCCACCTGCAGACCATGAGAGCTCTGTTTTAACCACAGGAAACAAACGCAAAAGGTGAGACAGCACCTTGACACCATAAAGAACACACTTTAGCTATCTAAATACAAGCCTGCAAAACTAAAAAGCAACCATGTTTTTATGACTGGGACTGTGCTTTTCCATCTGCATGTGCACAAATATAACTCTTATTGAGATGCCACCTTCAGTATTTTTCTTTCAGGAAGATTGGGGCCAAGAACTCAGTATTGCTTCAAAACTCCCTTAGAGAGCCTGATCACTTTTTGAGGTTCAGGGATTTTACATGCATACATGTATCCCTCCTTTTGTCACTACAGAAAGGTGTGTGTATTACCCCTCATCTAGCCTTAACAATGATTTGGTTCTTAAAATATCATCAGAAATAAGGTTTTACAGAGTTTTACATTAGAATTAAAACCACAAAAACAAACAAAAAAGCCAACTTAGTTTTATGTTTCCTTAGTCCTACTACTTGTAGAATTAAATTATTAATCTAAAGCTTATCTTATTTATTTTCCCTTGAGTTCCTCTCTTTAAAGTTAGGTAGACTCAGCATGAAGATACTTGTAATATGCTCTTTTTCTGAGATCTGCTGGTTTGGCCAGCAACCACCAGTCTCATTCTTGTTCTCAGATTCTATCTTCGTATGTTTGGGTGAGTAGGACTAATATGTGAGTTGCTGTAATACACTAAAATCTCATGTGACACATATAAGCGCTCATAATAAAGCTAGAAATATGATCACTAAATACCAAAGTTAAGAAAAGTAGATTTATTTTTAATGATGAAGTATCACATTTAAAATAGCAGTGGCATTGAGAAGAACAGTTTTGAACCTATATAAAATGGAACATAACAGAGGACAAGAAACTCATGAAGAGGCACATGACATCTTTTATCGGATTTAGCAGTAGTCACGATTTCCATAATGCTCTCAACTTCAAGCCTCTGAAATAAGTAAGGCAAGCTATTATTTTGAAGCTTCTGAGGCACTCCTTTTCTATATTTGGTCGTGAGAAATACAGAACCAGAATGCTGGGTATCAAGTTACCCAAATGTACAGTGAAGAAAAAAATAAATAAATAACATAAACCAGTATCCCCTTCTCACTTAACCATTAGGACTGAGAGTAACAGCTCTTTTATAATCAGATATAACTCTTAATACAAGCTTACCTGCTTCTCATGTAACAGCTGCACAACTTCGATGGAGATTTTTCTTTGCCCTAAATTATTTTTGATTTAAATATATATGAAGCATGCTGAAAACAGGGTAAAAAGGTATGGTGCAAGCAGTGAGGGATGTATGCTATTTTCTGGACCTTGGGGTAAGATTTATTCCTACCAGCAGGGTAGTTGCATATGAAGTGGAAACAATTTATCTCCATTAGTACCTTGAAATATGGAAACTTCCCTGGATCATTTTTCCTAAATGGGATGAGTTACTTGACAGCAACATTGTCTTTCCCACTCCTGCCTCAAACAGCTTCCAATATCATTTGAACATAACCACTTGTATAATATTTATATATAGCTGGTTGGGAAGTCCAATGAAGAAATTCCCACTTGACAGGCTACACTGTGATACTCAAGTTATTCCTTCCAGTCCAAAGTGTTTTGTATAGGGGACTCATTGTCAAGAGTAATGTACGCTGAAAGGGAGGAATCATTTAAACTTAGGGCTATGTAGCATCAGAAATTTATCAAGACATGCAAATTTAAAGCTATTAGAGTAGAAGACATAAAAATGTTAGTTTCCCTTACTAAGCACAATATTGCTCAAATTTTCACTCATATCAAAAAGTCACACAGCACCAGCATGCATTGTTCTTATAAATTGCTCAAATCAAGCTTGTACCTTGGTACTTCAGATACATTTTTAGCCAAGTTACATACACATCTGTAGTATTTACTATAATCACTATATAGAAATGTATATTACTATGTATACATATACTTTGTGCGTTTCTTCTTACATCCGAAAAACTGTAGTGTATTGGTAAAAATATGTAAATACACTGGAAATATACAATTTTCTTACAAAAAAAGGAACTTTTAACACAACTATAATTATATCTAAACACCTGCTTTTAGAAATGTTGTTTTAAAAGTAAATGCAACAGATACACTAATTTCCTGCTTCTAGCAATTAGCTCTTCTTCGGCTAAAAGATAAATTACAACTTTTGGCATAAGTATTTTCTCATTTTCAGCTTAACATGCCATTAAAAGCACTTTTATTCTAGTTCTTGAAAGAGAATAAATTAGACTTTCTTTTCTGAGGAAGCCTGCATTTGAACAGGTAAAGTGCTGATGTAAAAGCAAATATGTAGCTGTATATAGTTAATAAAATCTGAAGTTTGTAACAATCTAAAACTTTATCTTTTACTCATCATCTGAATACCTAAGCACTGGAATTATGTAAAAGCATTTATGAGATTTCCAGTTCTTACTGTTTTACAAAGTAATACCAAATTCAACTCCAGCCAGAAACAGAAATCCAATGTATTTGGTGCATTGCTGGAGTTATGAAAGAAAGAAGGCAAGTTTATTGTCACACACACACACAAAAAAAGTGGAAAAATAAAAGAGATTTTATAGTTCTTAAGAAAATTAAAATTGATGTTTTTGCTACTCTAACTTTATTTCTTCAATTCAAAAAGCCACAAAGCATTGCTGCATTCAACAGTGCAATTGCCCATCCTCCCTTCTCACCCCCAAAGAACAGTGGTGATAACGCAGATAATCACAGTTGCAGGGAACTTCGGTTTAAAGTTCCGGTGTCCATGAATCCTCAGTTCATGAGGAAATGTTTTACTTTTTGACTACACACCACAGGGGTAGTTATGAAGTCCACCGCCACCAAGCTACCTTCATTCGGTCCCAAACAGCCGAGAGAGAATCGAACGCGGGGCGAACATCCAGGATAGTGAACTGGTAGTTCTTATCAACCTCTCCGCCATCGTAATAATCAATAACGTAGCGCACCTCCTTTCCACAGCGGTCAACAATCCAATCATGCCTGTCAAAAGGAAGCTCGTACCTGAAAGGACAGACAGGCATTAAGTAAGGTCCCTGTGTGCTACTACAAATCTGTGAGAGGAAGCAGCACTAAGAAACTTCTAAGATGCATTTAACTAGATGCTATTGTAAGATTACATCCACTATTTCCACTCTCCAGAAATTAGAGCTTGCAATTCCATTTCTAAAACATCTTAAAATTACATCTACACTACACTTTCAGACCCATGCCTTCCTCCCCCTCCTCCTCGCTCAAAGTCCTGCCCACATACCCCATCCAGGAGCGTATTCTGGCTCTTGGTGAGTACTCCTTGGCTTTGCCTCCAAATCGCATCAGTGTTGGGCCACATGGGCATTCCCTAAACACACAATTAAAAAAGAGGAGAAAATATTTTTATCTTCCAAAACAAAGGTTTGTTCTACTATTTAAAACCCTAACTAAACTAATCAGGAACTAAATCGGAGAAATAGCAATAGTAAAACACACACACACACATACATATAGGTATATAAATTACAAGTTACTTTAAAAGGTTTCGAAGTTCCAGTTTCTGACAACACTTACTGCTAGTAAAGTGCCTTTGATATGTTCTACACCACTGTTCTACTATCAGCAGAGCAGATCTCAGAAAATCTAACTTGACAGTTTAATGGATTAAAAAACAGAAAAAAAGCTTTAAGAACAGAAAAGCCTCATTTGAGCTATTCTGCAACAAAGGTCATGGAATTTCACATAATTATTTCTACATATATCCAGTGCATTTAATTAGTCTCTCTCTTCTAGGAGCATTGACTATGCTCACCTAAAAATGATGAAGAGTTTGCCCTTTGTCAGTCACTTTTAATCTGTGTAGGTTTACATCTTATATCAGGTTTGCAACATAACAATTTTAATTAAATCATTCTCAAATAAATACAGTAAGAAGTCAGCTTCTCCAAACGCACGTTGTGTTCACCATCAGTAACAGTTATTCAGCTCTAGTCCAGTTCCTCTGGATAATACTTCTTCCTCCGTATTAATCAAAATGCATAATGCTACAAGAAACTTAACTTCGTGGCGTGTAGGCACCGTCATACTTCAGGAAAAATAAAGCAACGTTGTACTTTCAAATTATTATAGAAGTAAAAGCTAAAACAAAGGACTGGCTATTTATTTCATATGTACTTACATAGCATGAAGAGCTTCCCACTTCAAAATTTCCTTCCAAGCTTGCTCATTATTCTGATTGTGAATCTTAATGATGTTGGTCATGTCTTCACTCGTTATGTCATCATCTTTCCACCTCCACCTGGCAAATAGCAGTATGAGGACAATTCACAAGTGCAACTGCATAACTATCTCAACCTTCCTCAATTTATCTGCTGAGTTTTTGAATTCAGGGATTTAAGGGCTTGCATAAAGCAAGACATTTCCTTTCAGAGGGGACAAGAATCAGATAATACGATCTTATTCTTTATTTGAAAATTGTTTTGTAACCAGTATTTTTTTAACTCAAAATTAACCACTTACTATTTGGAATCCACTACTCTTTAGGTAATACCAACAAATAATGGCTAATGATATATTACTTCACAAACTTTAGGCTAACATAAATTCCATCAGATAATTCAGTTTATTTACCCCTTTTTTAGCATAGCATTCCAAAACATTTGCTCTGAAGGATAGACCCATTTCTTGTCAGAATGTGCTCTAGGAATGGAAGATTCTTCTCTAACAGTTGACAGTGGAAATGGCTGACCTGGCGATGGCAGTTGATTAGGAGGTGGCATCTAGAAAATAGGGACAATCGTCTGAATAGCAAAATTATCCATGTGGTAGGAAAATTTGTATATGTTACAGAGTTTGACAAATTTGTGAAAAGAAGACTGAAAGAAGCCTTTTTGCTAAACTTCAGTTTTCAAGTCAGCAGTGCACTTTGTAAAGCAGAGGAAGCCCTGGAGAAACCTGCTTTGGAACTTACACATTACAGAGTATCTAGAAACCATTGATATAATAAAAACATCCATGCATACAACTTAACGCTTAGAAATAACCAGCAAAAGATATTTATGAAGTGGCAAACCATTTCTTATCAAAGGCTGAACTTTGAAGAAAGTGTTGGGTAAGATCTAACATGTTTTATACATATACTTCCACACTATATTAAAAAAAAAATCAGGAAAATCAGAGTTAGAAAGAAAAAATAACAATAACAACATAAATTGCCAGAGTTTCTACCTCAGGCAGGGAGTTGCTAACTACAGTTGCATTAATTACGCTGTGGTAATATTTCAGGAGAGGAAATGTGAAGAAGCTGTCTGAACGAAGTGAAAGTTACCATGTTGCTAGGATCTATGTCATCTTCCACTTGAGATGCCCTAGACTTCATCGGACACGCAACATATTCATATGCTCTTTCTTGATGTGCAGGAACATTGGCTTCATTCTCAGCACTATGATCAGGAGTCTTCATGTGCATTGGACAGCCTATAATGCAGGAAAAAGTAGTACATGTGCCACTGCAAAATGAAGTCTATGAGATGTGACAGAAATCAGGGAAACAAGAATTCACTTAATGCTAATATCGTCTGATCTGGGCAAGAGCTTCAAGCTTTCACAATCCTCTTTTTTTCTGCGTATTTTAGAACCAACACCATAGTTACATCTGTGTTTCTTACGCAGTACTTGAACGTTCATTCCCAGCTCCATGCTGTCCCACACCCCAGGTGTTTGTAGCTAAGATCTCCACAGTAGCGTAAACTCAACACGTGTTAATGCTACAAGAACCACTGCTGCTCCTCCAAGCTGGCCACCTGCCCCCAGTGACCATCCTTGCGAGGCCTCAGCACCACCGCGTGTCCTCGGCCATGGGAAGGAGCTGCAGGGCCTCGATAAACGTGTCAGTCTGCACCTGCTCCCTGCACAGCCCAAACTCCTCTTTGTGCACGGCCTGGGCGGAGGGGAAAACCCACGTTATTTATTAGAACGCGGCTTCACGAGTCAGTACCGTTTGCTTTCCGCGCGTGCACGGGACACCCTGCGGGCGGCGACGCACCGGGGCCCTGTGGGGACGCCTGCGGTGCCTGCGCGGTGGCGGCCGGGGAGGACGCGGAGAGGCCCATCGCGTCCCTGCCGCTCCGGTTCCTGAGGAGAAAGCAGACGGGGTAAAGCGCGGCCTCAGCGGCCGC